ACCCACTCCCTCCCGCTCGCGCGCAGATAGGCTACCGCAGTCAACACGCAGCACCGCCTCCCCACTGTCTCCTCTGCAGTCGCTCACCCGGTGGGTTGCTCGGTCGCTCACTAGGTCCAATCCTGCGTTTGGAACCCGTGCATCTGGTTTCGAGCGTGTGGATTCCGCGCCCGGGTCTGACCCAGTCCTTCAGTGCAATCCCTCACGAGACGCCAGTTTCGCCCCTTACCGGTCGGGTTGAAGAATTTGTTGTTAACGGACTTCCGAAAAGTTCAATTTTCCGTGTTCTGGTTGTGTTTTCTGATGCTAATATTTAGTTGTCCCTAAACTTGGTTGTGTGAGAAGGCACGGCACATCCACCTATACCTCCATCTTGGCGGAAGTCCTGTACTTAGACCTTTTTTAAAAAACTTTTAATGTAGCTTTTCATTGTATTTTTCCATTACCATTTATTCCTCTTATACCTTCTTCCACCCCCACCCCCACAATTACCTTTTAAAATGCCTTTAATCCCATTTTCTTTTTTAAAAAATATGTTTTATTGGTTATGCCATTACAGTTGTTCTATTTCCCCCTTCATTCCCCTCAACCCTGCACACCCCTCCCCCACCATTCCTCCCCCTTTTAGTTTATGACCCTGTGTCTCGAGTTCTTTAGATTCTATATTTCCCATACTATTCTTGCCCCCCATCTATTTTCTATCTACCATCTATGCTACTTATTTTCTGTACCTTCTCCCCCCTTCTCTTCCTCCCACTCCCCTGTTGCTAACCCTCCTTGAGATCTTCATTTCTATGTTTCCACTCCTGATCTAGCTGTCCTTTTAGTTTGCTTTTGTTTTAGGTGTGGTTGTTAATAACTGTGAGTTGGCTGTCCTTTCACTGTTCATATTTTTTATTTTCTTTTCCTTAAATAAGTCCCTTTAACATTTCATATAATAAGGGCTTGGTGATGATGAACTCCTTGAATTTGATCTTATCTGAGGAGCACTTTATCTGTCCTTCCATTCTAAATGAAAGCTTTGCTGGATAGAGTAATCTTGGTTGTAGGTCTTTGGATTTCATGACTTGGAATACCTCTTTCCAGCCCCTTCTTGCCTGTAAGGTCTCTTTTGAGAAATCCACTGACAGTCTGATGGGGACTCCTTTGTAGGTGACTGTCCCCTTATCTCTTGCTGCTTCTAGGATTCTCTCCTTTATTTTAATCTTGGCTAATGTAATGATGATGTGCCTTGGTGTGTTCCTTCTTGGGTCCAACTTCTTTGGGACTCTCTGAGCTTCCTGGATTTCCTGGAAGTCTATTTCCTTTGCCAGATTGGGGCAATTCTCCTTTATTATTTGTTCAAATAAGTTTTCCACTGGTGGCTGTGCCTTTCCCCCTTCTGGTACCCCTATAATTCGGATATTGGAGCGTTTAAAGATGTCCTGGAGGTTCCTAAGACTCTCCTCATTTTTTTGAATTGTTGCTTCTTCATTCTTTTCTGTTTGGCCATTATTTGCTTTCTTCTGGTCCACTCCATTGATTTGAGTCCCAGTTTCCTTTTCATCGCTATTTGTTTCCTGTGCAATTCCATTCATTTCAATTAGTTTCACCTTCATATGTTTCTCTAATTTGTGGCTATAATCAACCAGTTCTGTGAGGATTCTGATCACCAGTGTTTTAAACTGTGCGTCTGAGAGTTTTGCTATTTCTTCATCGCCTAGATTTATAGGCTCTTGGGCTTTGAGATCTTCTTGAGCTATTTTTGGTCTGTTCGCACCTGTTAAGTATGAGGAGCGGAGCCTTGGACTCCCAGGTCGCTGGGTTGTGACGCTGTATATGGGGGCGTGGTCAGAGCGGGGCAATGGCGGTGCCCTCTGCTGCTGCTAGCTGCTGAGGCCTGCTGGGTCCCGTCTAACCGCCTACTCCCTCGCTGGTCTATCTGCGCAGGAATGCATGACCACAGTCAAATCTCGGCCCTGCCCCTCGCTGGTTCCCCACAGTTGCTTGCTGGGTCGCTCACTAGGTCTACCCGTTGCAACCCTGCACCTGGGTTCCGCGCGCCTGAGTTTGTCTGACCGAGTTTTCCTGTGCAACCCCGCTTCGCCAGCTGCTGGTTTTGCCCCTCTTACCGGTCAGGCTGAAGAATTTGTTGTTATCGGACTCCGGAAAAGTTCAATTTTCTGTGTTCTGGCTGTGTTTTCTGTTGCTAATATTTAGTTGACTCTAAACTTGGTTGTGTGAGAAAGCAAGGCATATCCACCTATGCCTCCATCTTGGCAGAGGTCCTGATCTTCATTTCTATGGTTCCGCTCCTGATCTAGCTGTCCTCTTAGTTTACTTTTGTTTTAGGTGTGGTTGTTAATAACTGTGAGTTTGCTGTCCACTCACTGTTCATCTTTTTTATCTTCTTTTTCTTAGGTAAGTCTCTTTAACATTTCATATAATAAGGGCTTGGTGATGATGAACTCCTTGAATTTGATCTTATCTGAGAAGCACTTTATCTGTCCTTCCATTCTAAATGAAAGCTTTGCTGGATAGAGTAATCTTGGTTGTAGGTCTTTGGATTTCATGACTTGGAATACCTCTTTCCAGCCCCTTCTTGCTTGTAGGGTCTCTTTTGAGAAATCCACTGACAGTCTGATGGAAACTCCTTTGTAGGTGACTGTCCCCTTATCTCTTGCTGCTTCTAAGATTCTCTCCTTCATTTTAATCTTGGCTAATGTAATGATGATGTGCCTTGGTGTGTTCCTTCTTGGGTCCAACTTCTTTGGGACTCTCTGAGCTTCCTGGATTTCCTGGAAGTCTATTTCCTTTGCCATAACGGGGAAGTTCTCTTTTATTATTTGTTCAAATAAGTTTTCCACTCGTGACTGTTCTTCTTCCCCTTCTGGTAATCCTATAATTCGAATGTTGGAACGTTTAAAGGTGTCCTGGAGGTTCCTAAGCCTCTCCTCATTTTTTTGAATTCTTGCTTCTTCATTCTTTTCTGTTTGGTCATTTTTTCTTTCCTTCTGGTCCACTCCTTTGATTTGAGTCCCAGTTTTCTTTCCATTACTATTGGTTTCCTGTGCAATTCCATTCATTTCAATTAGTTCAGCCTTCATATGTTCCTCTAATTTGTGACTAAAATCAACCAGTTCTGTGAGCATCCTGATCACCAGTGTTTTGAACTGTGCATCTGAAAGTTTGGCTATTTCTTCATCGCTTAGATTTATTGGCTCTGGGGCTCTGAGTTGTTCTTGAGCCATGTTTTGATCTGTTTGGGCCTGTTATGTATGAGGAGCAGAGCCTTAGTTGTTTACCATGGCGGGCCACCCAGGTTGCTGGGTTGTGATGCTGTATGTGGAGGCGGGGTCAGAGAGGGAGCTATGGTGGTCATCTCTGCTCGCGTAGTCCATCCCACCGCTCACCCCCACCTGTTTATCTGAGCGGAAATGTGTGAGCCCACTGCCCTGTGCCCTGTGGTCTCAATGCTCGCCTCTTCACTGGTTTATCTGCTCGCAAATGCTTGACCGACCGCAGACAGCCAGCCGCACCTCTTCCCTGTGTCGCACATAGCTAGCCCGCACCTGGGATCCCTGTCCTCGGCTGCCTGCGCACGACCCCAGTCGGGGATCTTTTTGGCCAACCCGCTTCGCTGCTGGCTTCGCCCCTCTTACCAGTTTAGCTGAGCATTTCGTTGTTTTCGGACTCCATATTGTTGATTTTCTGTGTGGTTTGGTTGGGTTTATTGGTGTTAAAACTGTTGTTTTTAGATTTGGTTGTGCGAGGACGCAAGGTATTTCCACCTACACCTCCATCTTGGCAGAAGTCCCTTTTTCTTCATTTTGAAGCACCTGAAATTTCCCTCTGCTTCTTGTTTCCTTGGCAGCGGGCTTGCAGGGTTCCTCCCCTCCCTTTCTACTCTCCTCTTTGTGAGCAGTTTTCATTCTAGGGCTGCCTCTTCCAGTCCCAGGTGTGCCTTAAGTGTCCTCCTTGTATCCTTTGATCAGAACTCTTTTAAAGTGTTTTTGTGCTTAGAGTGTGTTTTCTCCTTTTGACAGTGAGATGTAGATCAGCTCTGCCCTGGGCAGCCCAGCTCTGCTTTCTGTACAGCAACTGAAGTCAGTTTTAAGCCCTTGGCAGGAAGCTCATGGCATTGTGAAAAACGCCAGGTGACTTACATTTCAGTCTCTCTGACTTCCACGGTTCCACCTGTACTGAGTTCTGCTGAGCTGAGGGATAGAGAAAGGACAAAACGTAGTGAACTCACCGCAGGTCGGGATGTGCTCCTGTGGTCTGCGTGCCCCTGCCAGTCCTCGGCCCTGCCCCGTGCGGTCCGTGCAGGGCTCAGGCTCACGTTCTGTGGGAACCAGAACCGTGAACACATTGTGTGAGTTGTGGTGGCTGTGGACTCAGTGTGTGTGCCCGCTGCTGTCTGCATCTGAGTATCCCGTGCTCCCTGCGGCTCCTCGGTGGCAGGAGGGTGGTGGGAGGACCTGAATGTTTGGTGACTGGGAACAGGCAGCTTAGAGCTGCCGAGGGAAGGAATCTGGGACAGGTCTGGCCGTCAGGTTCCGAATGCCCACAGTCGGCTGCATCCTGATATGTGGCTCAAATAGAAGTTGTGAATAGCCAAAGTGGTGCAGATGGCATGTCTGGCTGAGAAGGTGGGGGTGATGTCGTCCTTCCCTGGCGACACGGCACCCCCCCGAAGTAACTCAGGCCAGGGCAGCCTGGGCTCCTGGGGAGGGTGGCGCCTCAGCGTGTCGGCACAGGTAGGTGGGGCCCTTTCCTGCGAGGCTGTTACATCCCAAGGATGGTTATAGACTCTCTGTGTCCTTCTTCTCCCAAGAGGCGTGTGGGGTGACAGGACTGTGAGCGCTTCCTTCAGGACCGAACATACAAGCTTCTATGAGAAAGACTGCAGCTCCTTTTAAGGGAACTGGACCCATTTTAGGTTCTTGCAGTGAAATGATGTAGTGCTGAGTCCTGTCATTTATGACTGTCTACCCTTTTCTTGTCCTTGTGTTTTACAGAATGCGATCTTTGTTGGGAAATCAAAGTCTCAGGACCAGGAAGTGAATGCTGCTTCCCCTCCATTGACATTCCAGGTGAGCTCCAGCTTCCTCAGTCTTTTGAAACACACCTTACTTACTTCTTCTAAACCACATCCCATCAGACCAGCTCCCACCATGTGGCATTCAGCTCTGTCCTTTACCACCTGAGGATCCAAGTAGAACTGCAATAAGCTGCTTATTAGGCAGCAACTGTATGCCTGCTCTATATACTAAGGAAAGAGCAGCAATCAAAACAGACATGGTGCACATTCTAGCCATAGACAGCACGTCAGTGAGTTTCGTGTGTGCTGTACTGGGCAGTGAGTGCTGTGGAGAAAAGCGGAGCAGCAAAGGGTCGGGGAAAGCGGGGCCTGGACCCCTGGGCCAGAGCAAGGGAAAAGGGAGAACCTGGGTTTGAGGTCACCCAGGTCACGAAAGGAATAATTATCCGTAGTACTTTGCACTTGTATTGCTGACTGGTTTTATATTGGCAGAGAGGGAAACTAACTGGTCTCAGCCCCTGCACCACCTGGGGCACTTACAGGCTGATGCAGAGCTTCTGTCTTTTCTACAGTGATTTTAACTCTGAGCATTCTTTCTTGGTTACAGGAATATAAATAATACTTCTTCTTTGTCTCACAGTGTTGGAAATACCAAGTAAGGAATTAGTGTGTATGATGCTGGAAACCTGTAGAGATGCACAGCTCATGACTCAAAGGCCTAAAACAGGTGTGTCTTTCAAGTTCTTATCAGGAAAATGACAGTGGAGAAGATGACGGGCCTCGGCGGCCGGTGGGAAGCGCCCTAGGAGGGAGCCAGAGAGATGTGCACTGCAGAAGAGAGACGTGATCAGAGAGCTCAGAGCAGGACAGTGTGTCGTGCGCGCCCTCAGAGGGGCCAGAAGATCTTTATTCATCTGCATGAGGTCACTCATATAGATGGTCACGTATACCAGTGCCTTGAACGTGAGCAAAGCTTCTGCGAAAACTTAGCTCTTATTATGTGTGAGAGAACCCACAGTGGAGAGAAACCTTATCGATGTGATATGTGTGAGAAAACCTTCATCCAACGCTCAGATCTCATTTCACACCAGAGGATCCACAATTATGAGAAACCCTATAAATGTAGCAAATGTGAGAAGAGCTTCTGGCACCACTTAGCCCTTTCAGGACACCAGAGAACACATGCAGGTAAAAAATTCTATACGTGTGACATTTGTGGCAAGAATTTTGGACAGAGCTCTGATCTGCTTGTCCACCAGCGAAGCCACACTGGTGAGAAACCGTATCTGTGCAGCGAGTGTGATAAGTGCTTCAGTCGCAGTACAAACCTCATTCGGCACCGAAGAACTCACACCGGTGAGAAACCATTCAAATGTCTGGAGTGTGAAAAAGCTTTTAGTGGGAAATCGGATCTCATTAGCCACCAGAGAACTCACACTGGCGAAAGGCCCTACAAATGTAATAAGTGTGAGAAGAGTTATCGGCACCGTTCAGCCTTCATTGTTCATAAAAGAGTCCACACCGGGGAGAAGCCCTACAAGTGCGGTGCCTGCGAGAAGTGCTTCGGCCAGAAGTCAGACCTCATTGTCCACCAGAGGGTCCACACAGGGGAGAAGCCCTACAAGTGCTTGGAATGTATGAGAAGTTTCACTCGCAGTGCCAACCTAATCAGGCACCAGGCAACTCACACGCACACTTTTAAATGCCTTGAATATGAGAAAAGTTTCAGCTGTGGCTCAGACCTTATTGTGCATCAAAGAATTCACATGGAAGAGAAGCCCCATCAGTGGTCTGCCTGTGAGAGTGGCTTCCTCCTGGGCATGGGCTTTGTTGCACAGCCAAAAATGAGGACTCAGACAGAGGAGCTGCGTTATCCGTACAGTGTGTGTGACAAAGGTTTCCGCCAGAGCTCGGCCCTCCTGCAGCATCAGATGGTCCCCGGCGGCGAGAAGCCCTGTATCTGTAACGCAGGGATGAAGGGGCTTGAGCTCAGCCCTCCCCACACACCAGAAGCCTCACAAATGTCTTGGCCAGACAAGAAGTTATGACACCATAAAAAACCATTTATGAGTCAGAGAACCCATTAAAATAAGGAACTCTAGGCAAAGCTTAGATTTTTTTGAGAGCTCAGACTTCAGTGGGGACCAGAGAATCTGTGATTATAGGAAGCTGGGAAGCGGTTTGCCCGGAGAGCTGCCGGTCACTCCAACGAGAAACCTTCAAAGGCCCTGAGGCTTGGAAAACCTTTACTCTGAGCTCCGATCTGGTCACTCACAGGAGGACTCGCACCAGTGGGAAACCTTGCAGATGCCGAGAGGGGCGAGCCTCCCAGCCATGCTCACTTCTCTCTCTCCAGGGGAGTTTGCACCAGAGGACAACGCCCTTGGTGTGCACAGCTTGCTGACATCAGAGAGCCCACACTTGGGAGAAACCCCAGCAAGTATGGTAAAAGCTTCCAACAGAACTGTGACTTTCCTAACCATCAAAAAAGCCATATTGGTGACAATTTAGGTATTGTTGTCTTGAGTGTGGCAAAAGCATTAGATGGAGAGCCTTCTTGGGTTTGCCGCATCAATAACAACAAAACGGATCTAAGAAGAGACCTTATGAAGACTGAGGGAGAAGAGCCGTCAGCGATCAGCTCCTTTGGTTGACACACCAGGGAACTCGTGAAAAACCCCATAAATACCTTGAGTCTGAAAAAAGCCTCGCTAGAAACCTCGACCTCTGGGCCCCTAAGAACCTACTCTGCAGAGAGTTGTGCTCTAGTATGAGCACGGGTCGGGGTGGTGTACATATAGTAGGTGTGAGAATAGCCGTGCTCCCAGTTAGCTGGCCCCTGTGTAGAGGTGACTTTCATGGAGTCTGGACCTGGACGGCTCTTCGATGCCCAGAAGCTCACTGTGGCAGGAGCTCGGGCCCGTCAGAGCAGGCCTGATGGGAAACTCAGGTAAAGACCCTTTTCTTTTATCCGAACCACTTCATTATGATCGCTTTGCTTTCTCTTTTTAAAATGTGGAAACCCAATAAAGGAAAGGACTGCCCTGTGACAGATGGTGTGGCATGTGTTACTGTGGGGACAGGAGAAGACTGACTTTGCCTTCTGGTGCTTACTGTTCTTTTAAGAATTCTTGGCCAGATTGGGGACTGGTTTTGACAGTCACTTGGGGAACTTGCTGGAAGTGGCAACAACTAGGCAGGTGGGAAGCTGCTCTCCTGGGTCAGGACTCCCAGAAGCCTCCCCTTTGCAGGGCCAACCTCATACAAAGGACACTTGGCGTCCTTTTACTTGGTGTTAGTGGGGGAAAACCCTCAAAGGTTTCCCTTCCCGAAAATGTCTGAGTATCACTGGTGTTTGAAATGTCTGCTATAGAGATTCATCTCTTTTCGAATCAGAAACGCCAGTTTGAGGAGCAGTTATGGTGTTGCTAGTATCCACATCTTTGTGGCTTCGTGTGCTGCCCCTTCCAGTGCTAATATCTCCTTAGCAGCTACGTGCAGAACTGCGAAGGGAGGGCTGCAAGGACTTCAGGCCTGTGCAGGCAGGTGACACGTGGTGATGCTTTGTTAGCGGAGGAGCCATGCTTCTGGTTTTGAGTATCCTGCCTCCGAAGCCGGTGTTCTTTTCTCTCCATTATCCTGCTGTTTAATTCAGTCCCGTAATGATATACCTTTCATTTATTTCAGTTCTGCCAAGAAAGGAGAGACTACTTTTTATTCCCAGGGAAAGGATTGCAATCACTACAATATAAGGTATTTATTTGGCTTGGAATGTAGGATTCTAAATGCTAGAAGGGAAAAGTAGTTGCCAGGTTTATCAGAGTTTCAGGGATTAGAACTTATCTCCAGTTTAACAGAGTAACTATTATATTCAGCATTCTCTAGAAGTACTATAATCCAGTGATCTATAAATGAACAACTTTGAGGGGATTTTCCCCCTCAAAAGACATGTAATAAAAGTAGTTAAGATTCCTGCATTATTTGGGACTCTAGACTGGTGAATAAATATTTTGTTGCTAGTCTGAGTCTGACTAGTCTATCTCAGCAAACCCCTGGACTTCAGGAGTACTGGCCTTTGGACCACAGAGGTGGCCAGCGGCTGCTTTGTGTGCAGCTCTGATCTCTGACCTGAGCTGATGACCTTGATAATCTTATGGTCGTGGGGCAGCTCCTAGTGATAGGAAGGAATCTGGTTCCAGGGTGTTTTTCTTTGAGCAAACAGGTCCTGAAAGGTTATTCACTCTGGTATGTTTTAGTATTATTTCCATAAATAGCTCTTATACCATGAATAGTTGCCCAGTGTGGTAAAACACATGAGATATATTTGGTTTTCTTGGGTGCCTGTCGCTAGTGTATGTTTGATCACTGTAATACTAAAATAGTATGGGCGTATGGCATGGCAGAGACAAATATTAGTCCTGTGGCTGCTTGCTAGTCATTAGAACCTGCAGAAGGGGACAGAGTTGGCCTCATGGCAGGGTAATGACCCTTCTTTTGGCTAATCTCACTGGTAACTAGCTGTGTCTAGTCTTTAAGTAAATTAAGGATGGACCATCCCCCAAGCAGAACTTAGTGGGTTTGAAACAGGTCTAAGGTCTTTTAACCATGGGGAAGAGGTGTTGGTACTGTTTCACGTAGCATAGCCTGAGGCTGGGGAGGACCACCTGGGAGCCTGTAACCAGCACTAGCAGGCAACTTCTGGTCTGGTTGGAGGTTCTCTTGAAACAGTGCCAACCTAGATCTACCTCAGGTAAGTAGTTAGGGTCACCTTTCAGGATTTCAGACCTAATGAGACACTTGTATTCAGTGTATTCCTATGCTTCAATGTTTTTGTTTGCCCTTAATTCTTAAATAAACATTCATTCTGCAAAACTCCAGTTTGTCTCGACTGTACTAAGAAAAAATGTCCCCCCTACACTTGCATTAGAATAGAGCAGGTGTTCAGGGACCTTTCGCAATGTATGTGTACATCATCAGTTCATCATGATGCACACATTATATGTCTTACAGTTTTACTTTCCAGTTATACCTGAATAAAGCTGGAAAAAAAAAGGATAAAGTGGATATTCATGTGGGCCTCAGTTCTGGCGTGGGGACAGCCATTGGAGTGTCTAGAATTCTAGGAGTTTCTGGCTGGGAGTGAACGGAACCCAGAGGGAGTGTAGTCTGTGCTCTTGTCTGGACCATGGGTCCTTTCAGAGCGCCCCCCTCCACACCACTGCATGACATAGTAGCACAGGGAGGAGTCCTAGCTTCATGTGACCATATGGGGCTAAAATTCAGTAGCAACCTGTGCTCCATCGATGACCCATGTGGAGTCCATGCCCTCGTTACTCACGGAAGTTAAACATATCCAGGTTTCCGAGAGAAAGACACTTGGGAGAATATTGCCTGCAGAGCAACTCAGTTCTGCTCAACTGTGATGATCTCTGCTCCACTCCCTAGCAGGAGTACTGGTACTAATAACGCAGCAGTATGGGAACACGCCCATGGTGAGAGGGCAGAGATGTTTAGGGGTGACTGGGGAGACTACCCTTTCCAGTGTAATTAGTGAACCCCTTCCCCAATCCCAGCCATTTCTTCCAGCCTCTCTGGTCTGAGGCCAGGGGGCGGTGGTAGGCCCTGCTCTGTCATTTGTGATCTTGGTGTTGGGATAAGTATCCCACTGGGGCACAAAAGTGTGCAGAATGTTAGGGTTCTCAGAATCCATTCAGCTACCTTCTAATTTAGAGTAGGTTTCAGTGTTACTGTAACTGAGTGAAGCTGCAAAGGACCTGTACACCCCACCACTAACCATGCGTAGTTGTTGAGGTCCAGATTCATCAAAGCAAGCTTGTAAACTTCGGAAATCTTAACACATTAAATGTTAGATTGGAGAGGACCCAACTACCCTCTCACGTAATGAAATTTCTTCTGTGGTGCTTTTTTTCTGGTACAGTATGTTTCTTACAGATTTATGTTTGAACTTGTAAATTTCACCAGTTGATTGAAGGAAATTGTGTCTAATTGATGTCTAATTTTACCTTTCATAATGAGATTGCTAGAATATATATATCTTCTAGGTTTCAATATGTCTGGAAGTTACAATCTAAATTTTATTTTGAGTGTGATTCTGATGTTCTCTACCATGGGTTGGAGTGGCTGCCATCTTGGGTGAGTGCTAGAAGCTTGGTCTCTGTCCTAAGCTCAGTAGGACTTAGGAAAAGGGTTCAGAGAATCATTAAATGAGGTGTCCTGTAGGAAGCAAAAACTTTTAATGAGCATGGCAGAGTCGAAGACCCAGGGAATCCAGGGTTGAAAAAGTCACAAATCTTGGTGTGGTTCTTTGGGGCCTAGGGGCAAAACGCAACCAGGAAAGGTGGAAAATGCTGTGACTAGCAAACTCCAAAGGACAGCTGTTGGTCACCTTGGTGCTGTGACAGGAATGACCTGATAGGAGTAAATACACATCCACCAAAGTGATGTGCCCATCAGCTACCATGTAACCAGCCCATGCTGATTAGTGAGCAAGACCTATTCTGACAGTAATGCCGCCTCCTGCAGGCCTCATCCAGTGTAACGTGAAAATCACATCACTGCAAATTTGTGTAGGTCTGGAATTAAAGGCACTTGTGATGAATCCAGGATGTTTTACACAGAAGGTATAATCTGGTAATCAGCCTTATAGTTAGGTTATAAGATCATTTATTCTGTGGACCGATGGTGCTCCAATAGATTCCAGTGTTCACAGCGTCAGACCAGGATCTTTCCCTCTTACAGACTGAGGATTCCCAGTAACCAGCTGAATCAGCTCATGAAGTTTCACTTAGGCACCAGGTAAATAAAGTCTTTTATTCCTAGCAATGTCATTTTTAAAATTGTTTTAGCATTGTAAAATATTGTAATGTCACATGGTACAAAATGACATAATAGGCAAATACCTAAATTCAAGCCTATTATATCTTAACCTTATGACCCCCCCCCTTTTTTAAATGAAAATAAATTTCCACCAGATCTGATGCCTCCTTGTTAACTCTCCAGTCATACTACCTCTTAACCCTTCTGCCATTCTGGTTAGCATTCCCAGGAATGGCTTATTTTGCTGAATGCATCAGTATTTGTGAAAATCATATGGAGACATTTATGCTCCATATACCAGTACTATACTCCATAGAACTCTTAAACTTGGGTTCGATTCCCAGTCAGGGCACATGCCTGGGTTGCAGGCCAGTTCCCAGCAGGGGACTCATGAGAGGCAACCATACATTGATATTGCTCTCCTTCTCTTCCCCTCTAAAGATAAATAAAATCTAAAAAAAAAAAAAAAAAAAAAAAGCCAGTTTTAAACCCCTTTAAAAAAATTAAGCTGTTGCCCATTCACGTGAACTTTTGAACACTTGCACAGCATTCTGCTACATAGCTTCGACTCGGCAGTCCCTGCCCTCGTTGACAACCTGGGTTGACGTCACTAATGACTGCAGTGAACACGCACCCATCCCCGCACAGCCTGGTGTCAACAGTGAGCCTCGCTGTGTTCACTGCCCACCTCAGTGCCCTGTCTTTCATGTGTGTGGCTTCTTTATCTGGGGCATCAGGGTGCTGTTTATTTTTATGTACAATATTTTGCTCAAATATGTATCAAAACCAATTTTCTGGAGACTTACATTGAAATTATATCACCTGCAAATAATGTCAGTTTTCTCCCTCTGGACTTTTGTTTTCATCTTTGTCTGTGAATCTCCAAGGTTTTTTGGACAGTGTATGAATAGGGAGTATCTTCATGCATTCCTGACTTTAATTAGAATATTTTAAATGCTTCACAGTTTTGAGATTTGTAATAAGATCTTTCCGGATGCCCCTCATTTGGTTAAAGAAACATTTTTATTATTGGATTACTAAGGGTTTTTACCATTACAGTGTTAAATTTAGTTGAACTTCGATCTTCTACCACTGTGCTTGTCCAGCTACGACACCTGGATTCTAACCGGAGGTCCAATCTCTGTGAGGTTGCATGCGGACTTCTTCCTCAGCTGTGCTGACACGACCGTCTTCAGTGGTCTACACCAAGGCTGTCACCTCTGGGGCTGCTCTTGTCATCTGTGACCTCCCATCTTAGTGCCAACAGAGTGCACCGGAGAGTCACAGTGCTGCTACCTCTGACATGGCTCCAACCCCACACTCCCCCCATGGAGCTCTGTGCGGGATTGGGGTTCCCCGGGCTCTCCCAGACTTCTGTTCACCTTCCGGGGACGACTCGGAGAACTTGGTAAAAAATGACCCCATCTCTGAAAACCATGACCGGGACTCAGCCCCACACTCAGGGCTTCTCTTACCTTCCCGATGCCGTCACCATGCAGCCACCACAATGCTGCAAGCCCCCTGCACACTGACTCCTGAAGTGCCCCCCTTTTCCCAGTGGTCTGTGAGACTCTCCATGCCAAGTACCATGTGTTCTTATGTTCTCTCGCTCACATGCTCAGAGTGACTTGGTAAACACTGAACTGGATAACTGACTAATAAAATGGGCTAAAAATTAATTAGGCAGATGGGAAGGGGTGCAGGTTCACTGAATTCCGAGACCAGAAAAGAGTGAAGGTGAGTAATTGGGACACAGGAGATGGAGATTATCCCGTAACCCACCCCCACCTTACACACACACACTCTCTCTCTCTCTCTTTCTTTCCTATAAATACATTTGGAAGGTGGTTCCCCAGCCAGTCCCACCTCATTAACCCCCATCCCTGTGAATCTTTTCTAAATCAAGGCTGCTGCCACTGCCTGTACTTGTGGTTGCTACGTGGCCTCTTGGACTGGCTGTTTTCACTTGAGCTTGATTTGATATAAGGCTTTTCCTGGGCCCAGAAAGTGGGGTTTTTTAGAGGACCCCAATGGGCAGGAGCCAAGAACAAGACCAACAGGCATCTGCAGGCGTCATAATCACACTATGAGTGTGAATTAGGTGCCTTAGCCTGGCTTGTACGGAGTTGGAGGGAAAGAGGCCCACGAAACTAGGTCTGGACACTCACCAGTGACTCCTGGTCTGAGATACAACACACCTGCCTGAGTAGTCATTATTGGGTAGGCAGAACTCTGGGCTGGGCTAGGAGGTGAAGCGGACTCCCTGCCCCTCAAGAGTCCCTGACCACCGAGGGCCCCTCCACGCTCTCTGAGGGGGGTGGGGCTCCAAAGATCCTGGCAAGGAGCCCTCGGTTGGAGCGGGCCTGGTCCTGAGCATTGGCCAGTCGAGCCCGTTCTCGACCCCCTGGACGAGCTGCCTTCTTCCGGGCCCTCAGCTCCTGCTCGGTAGGACGCTGGGCAAAGGACCAGGTGCTATCTGGGCGGGTAGAGTCCCCATCAGCAGCGAGGAAGCGCTTTCCCCGCTCCACACTTCGAAGATAGAAGTCAGTCTCGCGCTTGGCCTGGGCAACCTCAGCTCTCAGGCGCTGCCTGCGCACCTGGCGCTCAAACGCAAGATGCTCGCTGAGGTGGGACCAGGTGAAACGATGCAGGTACTGCGGACAGAAACAAAAGTTCTGGGTAGGTCAGGGGTGGAAAGAAAACATGAGGGAACAAGGCTAACAGGTCACAGAGGTGCCTCATCTGGGGTTGGGAAGGTAGGAAGATGAGAGATGCGGCAGGCAAGCCTATCCCCTCACCTTGAGGTTCCATAGGTCATAACGGAAAGGGCTGCGCCTGCGGGCACCCATGGGTGTGTTGTGCAGGCTGGCGGCCACACGCTTGGCTACTCGCTTGTCCCGGAACTCCACCCAGCCCTCGGTGTAGTCCTTGCTGTATTTGGACCGCTTTTTCCCTCCGGCTGCCGAGGCCGCTGCTGCTTTCTTCTTGCGCCGCACAAACCCCTCTGTGTGACAGAGACAGTGGTGGTCATGAAGACAGAGACAGCACCCACTCACTATCGCCTGGCTGCCCGCGGGCGGCGATCCCACCTCAAGGTCTTTGCCGGGAAAGGAGCAGAGAACTGCGAGTCCACCTCTCCCCGCCCCCCCCCCGCCCCCATGACTACTTCAATCCTTTCTGAAGGTCATCCCCTGTCAAAATATAAACGGGGCCACTTTAAACTGGAGTCGAAGCAGACAGCCCAAAAGCAGGCTTTGCCTCAAACCTCTGCATGTTTGGAAAGGGCAAAATAACCTCTGGACTGAGACGAAAACAACTTTGTGCCCCAAAGAACTGCTCGCAAGGATAACAAAAAAGTAGATATCGTGACTACCAGCTGGTTCCCAGACTGAAATTTTAAAACGTTTGTTTAGGATTAGCACCACTGTCATGTTATCCGCAGTAATAGCGACTCTCTCCGCCTACTGGTATCATTGTTCCCCTTCCCTTTCTCATACACACCCCTTGCCTTGGCCTCTTAATCAGAATACTATTTGGGCTTCTGCCTGAATCAGTGCTTCTCCGAATAGCTCTTCTTATGTATGTCATATAAGTGCTTGTTACCTCTCACTTTAAAAGGCCTTTAATTTTGCTGTTAACACTCCCTGTTCAGGTCTATCTACCCTGAATGTTCTATTTTAAACCACACAGGCCTCCAACTCCCGTTCCGATGAGTGCCTCCTGGGGAGTTGGGGGCGGCTGATCGATACTGTATCCCCACCTAGGCCGCAGTAATGAGAGGTGGCTTCGGCTTTGTGAAAAAGCCACTGATACTTTATTAAGGCGGCTGTACTCATTTAACAAAAAGTGGTAAATTCGAGCCAGAGAAGAGAGGTGAGCAGAGGAGAGTTTAAAATCCAAATCAGCTGAGGACAGGCCTACAGGGAAACCGCCCACCCCAGCCCTACCGGAACTGCTCACATTACTGACTGACCCCAGCGCCTCCGACCCGCGCACTTACCCTCGGGCTGGAAGAAGACGCGCCCCACCTCGCCGTAGGCGCTGAGAAGGTTCCGCACGTGCAGAGGCCGAAAACGGGGCGGGAGGTGGCCCAGGTACACAATGCCCGGCACCACCCGCTTCTTAGTGCTGCCAGTCGCCTCTTGGGGCTCCTCCTGCTCCTCCGCTGCCTCTGGTTCCCCATCTCTGCCTTCCAGAGTGTGCAGCTCTGCTGGCTCCTTCTCAGACTCCTCTCCCTCCATGTTCACCAAGACGCGAAGCACCACAGCCGTAAAGCGTCGCGCCGTCTGACGCGCGGACGCGCGCGACGTGAAATGGCCTGCGACGGGGGCGGGGGCCAATGAGGGTTCTGACCAATGAAAGGACGACATTGGGCGGCATGGGCGGGTCCAGGTCAGCACAGAGGGCGGAAGTGGGTTCCAAGTCCCCGGGAGTTTCAAACCGAGAGCCAGAGCTGAGGAAAGCGAAAGTCGCCTGACTTCCGGGCTGGAGGCCGACTGGAAAATGCAGACTGGAAGAGGAGCATAGAAGAGGCTGATTCTCTAATCTAACACACCCTGCAGAATGCCTTGGGAGGAGCAAAATGCTGGGATGCAGCAGGCTGTCCCGGGACTTTGGGAGTGGCTGAAGTGGCTTATGTGGTGGCAGTATTAGGCACGGCTGCTTGAATAGGAGGCAGCACCTGTACGGTTCTGTACAGTCCACTGTTATGCTGCAGGAGCCATCCGGCTTTCTTACCTGCCCCACTGGCTCTTCAAGGCGCCATGTGCAGGGCGCACAATGCCCACACGATGGCGCTCCTAGACCGTTTCCGTGTGTCCTCCGCGTTACGGGTATTACGAGTCACCACCCTCCCTGGCTCCCCTAATGGGCTCCCCATTGGCCGTGCCCCTCGGTACTGATTTTGTTACTCGTACTCGGAGGCTGAATTCCCCAACCGAAGTTTGCCAAGTCTGTCTTTGTGAAATGTCAATGCCCAGTACTTTCTCCAGGATTGGGGAGTGAAGACCTCACACAGTTCACAGTCCGCCAGTGGTTGGTACAGTCAGTGATAAAGCTCCACGGATCTGAGCGACGGGATGGGGCGGGCTATTTTCTTTCACCCCAATTCTACACCTGCACTCCAATAGAACCACAGGACATAAACAAACAAATGAGCGGAGGCCAAACCGAGTTCTGTGGCTGGGCATATTCTGTCCATGAAAGTGTGGCGAAAGCCCCCAGGTGGTGGTGAAAATCAAGGCAAGGTTGACCTTGAGCCACTTTGAGAACACCTAAGTTCAAAACTCTCTGCTCTAAAACGGTCTGGGAGGGGCGGGTTTCTTCTCCCAGAAATGTATGCACTTTATATCAGCTCCTACTGAAGAAGGAAGGAAGGGAGGGAGGGAGGGAGGGAGGGAGGGAGGGAGGGAGGGAAAAGAAAAGAGAAAAGAAAAGCAAATAGAAGAGAGAGCACGCATTAAAGACATACTGAAGAGCTAGCTGGAAAGGTCTGCCTTGTATGCCCTGCACAGCCTAGGGACAGTCACTTTCTCAAATAAGATATTTCTCCTTTTGCACGTCAATTTTGATCCTCTTGCTCCAATTTCAGTAAGAGGTGAATTCCAGTGTTAAATAAAGTGGTGTCTGCGCTCAGCGGATTATCTCCACGCGGAATCCAGCTCCGTGCAGCAGATTTCAGGTGGCGCTGGTGGCCTGAATTCGTGCTTTGGCTGTTTGACCGCCACAGTTCCACTCTTGAGCCCATTGGTTGATATACCAATTATAACTTGTATTCCGGAATTCTAAATTCCTTTCAAATACCAAGGTGAGTCAGGGAGAAGAATGGTACGTCGGGTGGGGAATTAGCTCAAATGGTAGAGCGCTCGCTTAGCATGCGAGAGGTAGCGGGATCGATGCCCGCATTCTCCAGTTTTACAAAAAGCTTTCTGTGAAACATTCTCAGCTAATAGATGCCCTAGGGCACAGCCACATCTCATGACAGACATGGCGCCAAAAGCCACTTGTTGGTGGCTACCTCATCGTCAGGACAGAATGGGCAAGAGTCAACTTTTTGGGATTTCTCTCATGTTTGCAGGTTTGAACAAAAACTAAAAATCCTGAGGGGAAAGATACAAGGAATTTCCAGGCGCAAAATCCTCAGCAACTCTTCCTGACCTTGATCTGTATCTTTGTCGGTGAGGAGTCTTCAATAAATATTCGGGATCACATTTTTTTGAGATGGGAGAAATGAAATTGGCACAAAATTACAAAAGTCGTTTTCTATTGTTAGGAGAGGTCTCTCTACTTTGTAATCCTCAAGGCGGGTGGAAAATCGCACATTTTTCTCCTTTTTACCCTGAAATGATTGTTTCTCTGTAGCGGTGGTTCTCAAACCTTGCAGCTCCTTAAAATCGCCCGGGAGCTTTTGAAACTATTAACGCGGGGGGGGGGGGGGGGGCGGGAGGGCGGGGGGGGCACTGCAAAGCGGCGGGAGAAGAAGCGCTTCGTGAAACCTCCCCGGACGACTGCGACCCTCACCAACCGTCCGCACTCGGGGCTGCGAATCGCCGCTACTTAGTTAAAGGGAGCAGCGGCAGTGGCCCGGAGATCCCCGCGGCCTGCGGGGCGTCACCGGGAAACCCCCCCCCCCGACGCAGGACCGTAGGACCAGCAGGGGGCGCGTGAGCCGAGGGGCCGAAGGATGGCTGAGCCCATCGGTCCTGATTACAGTAAATAATGATGGAGAACAACGATGTAAAAGCTTTGATTCGCTGTGCAGTAAGGAGGGTCTTAAAGAAATGCCCCTTCAAAACTCAAAGAGCTGGGATGAATCAGGACTCAAAAAATACTAGTTCCTTCGAGCCGGATTCGAACCAGCGACCTAAGGATGTCCGAGACGTACGACTACAGTCCTCCGCTCTACCAACTGAGCTATCGAAGGAAGCATGACAACTCCGTCCAATCCGCGGGAGCCAACTCTGTGCTCACAGCGCCGGGTGCCCGCGGCCTCCCGCCGCCGCGTCGTGGACACGTCGGCCCTGTCCCTCAAAGACCCACTGCCATGGACCAAGGAGGAAAGGGGAGCACCCGCTGGTTTGCGCAAAGGAAATCGGCACGGTGCACGGAAGTCCCCGCTTCCCGCCGCTCTCTCTCCTTTACTCTCCCCCTCTCGCTTTTTCGTTTGCGTTTGCTTTTCTTGGGCTGTAACATTTGAAAATAAGTTGCAAATATCATAACTTTCATCTTTAGACACTTCAGCGTGCACACCTATGTGTGAGGGCATTCTATATATCCCATTATTCTCACGCCTGGGAAAAGTACCAATAATTCCACTGCATCTAATAATCAGCCCATTGTCCGGTTTCTCCAATCATCCCAACAATATGATTTATTGTATTGATTTTGGAACCAGAACATAATTCAACACAAAACCCCCCATTACATTGGTTATAATGTCTTCAGTAATGTAACGACTGCGCTCCAATGCAGCCGTTTGATTGAATTTTTTCCCTTCATCGCAACCCAGATTGGGGGCTCCTATTGACATTGGATTGGTGGCACCGACCTTTTGCCGACAAGACCATAAAAATAGTTTTTCGCGTAGGTGTAGACTTCCTGTGGAATTCTAGTCTGAATAGACAGCCACATTGCGTATTCACCACGTTGAAGCGGATCGGCAGCCTCAAGCAAAAGAAATGGTTTCTAAACCACCAGAGATTCAGGTTGACTGTGTCTAAGATTGAGCCCAGGAATCTGAAATTTGAGAAACTCCTCAGGTGATTCACATATACAGCCAGACCCTGGATACCCAAACTCAGGTGTTTCCATTGAATTGTCCTGAGGCCTGAAAGAACATTAATGTGTGGTTAATTGGGCTTTATCAATGGAGAGGTATATGTGTCTCCTTTTCCTACTCATTATCGTGGGCGTGTTGATAAAACACATACCAATGAACCTACAAAAGCTTCAAAGAAATAATAAAGGAACACATGCACAGTGGGATTTTGCAGGTGTGCGGAAATCGCAAAAAGCCTTGATCAGTTTGACCAAGTGGCTGATTTTCAAGTCACTCTATTAACAGCAAAATCTGCCCCTATCTGGGATAATATTGGCGAGGCACAGCCAGGGCTGTAAGGGTCTGCTCCACAACCAGCATGGATTTGTGAGAGCAAAAGGTACATGATGGCTGCAAAGTGAACAATCATCGGTGCTGGGCAGGGCAGTATTTTCTACAGCGTAGAAAGTTCACAGGAGTTGGGGTAGAGATGCCGCCTGGATTTTGAAAAACAGGCTTAAAACTTTCGATTTTATTCTGTAGGCAATTGGAACCTGTCGTGGCTTGGCTGATTCTTTTCCTTGCCAGAGGAAGGGAAGAGAGGTTGGAAACATTTTTGTGGGCTCCATTGTGTCCCCGAGTGTGAGTGATTAGGTAGCGAAAGGCGTAGGAGACAGTGGCCATAGAAAACTGGACTCTCCATGGACATTGCTGCCTCTGGGCCTCTGCCCATCACACTTCCCTTTGGGTGGTTTTGTCCACCTTTCCCAACATCTCTGCACCCCCTTCCTGCATTCTAGACCTTTCTGATTGGCATAGTGCTTCAGAATCATCCGAGGAGCTTGAACTAGACAGAGCAAACTGTTACGGACCCAGTAAGTAGACCAGTAATCATCCTGAGCAGTATTACGCATTCCCGCCAGGGGGCGACGAGGACACACTCAGGAGTTACGGAGGCCTGAGTGGCTCAGCAGCAGTGACCACGGAACGCTCGTAAACTTGCTCGTTTGACAGCGGTCACAGGCCGGCTCTGGAGCTCAGGGGTGTGCGGAGCAGAAGCAGAAAAGCATTGAAAGCAAAGTAAAAGCAGGCCGCCCAACGTGGGGCTCGAACCCACGACCCTGAGATTAAGAGTCTCATGCTCTACCGACTGAGCTAGCCGGGCACCCGTGGAGACCCACCTCGCATCTACTCTAACAATACCCAAATTCTCTCAGAAACACCTCTGTTTTTGCTTATAGGCAAAATAACACTAAATTCAAAGAATGTAAACATTCTATGACACTGTTAGCATCCATTACACCCGCTTTGGTGACACCTTCCCCCTTTGCCCCGTTCTCACCGATCTGCAGTGGGACAGCGACCCCAGTGACCCCAGCTCCGGCCTGGCTGCCAACGTGGCTGCGCACACAGCGCGGAAGGCCCAGTTCTGGAGCCCAGACACGGCCCCGGGCTGCCTCTGCTGCCCACCGAGGCCTCCTCCCCGGTGTCGTCGCTGTCAACTTTCGCCGCTCCCGCCACCCTCTGTGGGCGGGGCCCTGCAGAAAA